TGTTCGCCTCTCGGGACTCGTCCCACTGCGCCCAGTTTATTCTCTGACCCGCGGCACTCTCGGCTCGGATGCGCTGGCGCACAGCTGGCTACGGGGCCCACGCAAGTGTGCGTTCCCCCAGTGAGCCTCCTTGCACGGGTGTTGTGCAAGATCAAGGAGGACGAGGAGCAGGTCTTGCTGGTAGCCCCCTACTGGCCCACCAAGACGTGGTTCTCCGAACTCATGCTCCTCGCGACAGCACCTCCTTGGCCTATTCCTCTGAGACCGGACCTACTCTCTCAGAGACGGGGCACTCTGTGGCACCCTCGTCCCGATCTTTGGAGGCTGCACGTGTGGCTCCTGGACGGGACGAGGCAGGTTTGAGTTCGCTGCCACCTGCGGTGGCGGCAACCATCACTTCCGCAAGAGCGTCGTCCACGAGACACCTTTATGCGTTGAAGTGGAACCTCTTCGTCAATTGGTGTTCTTCTCGCTGAGAAGACCCCCGGAGATGTTCGATCGGAGTCGTGCTTCCTTCCTGCAAGAGGGGTTGGAGCGTAGGCTGTCGCCCTCCACCCTTTGGATTTATGTCGTGGCCATTGCCGCGTCTCATGATGCAGTGAAAGGTAAGTTTATGGGAAGCATGACCTGGTCATCAGGTTCCTGAGGGGAGCGAGGGGGCTAAATCCGCCTCCCTCCCCTCCTGCCCTCTGGGGACCTCTCAGTAGACCTGGGTGCTCTGCAGAGGCCTCCCCTGGAGCCTTTGCAGTCGGTAGAGTTTTTGCCCTGTCCTATGTAGACAGCACTCCTGATTGCATTGGTCTCCATCAGGAGAGTAAGGGACCTGCACGCTCTCTCTGTTGACGAAGTGTGCCTGGAGTTCGGGCCGGCTTACTCTCACGTATTCCTGAGACCCCGGCCTGGATATATGCCCAAGGTTCCTACCACTCCCCTCTGGGACCTGGTGGTGAACCTGCAAGCGCTGCCCCTGGAGGAGGCAGACCCAGCCTTGGCACTGCTCTGTCCGGTACGTGCTCTCCGCACCTATGTCGACAGAACGCAGTGTTTCAGGACCTCAGACCAGCTCTTTGTCTGTCATGGGGGGAGCCAGAAGGGAAGGGCTCTCTCAAAGCAACGGCTGTCCCACTGGGGAGTGGACGCCATCGCTTTGTCTTACCAGCAGCTAGGCCGGCCGTGCCCCCTTGGTGTGACGGTCCATTCCACTCGGAGTGTGGCCTCCTCTTGGGCTCTAGCGCATGGCGCCTCGCTAACAGACATCTACAGAGCTGCAGGCTGGGCGACACCCAACACCTTCGCCAGATTCTATAATCTGCGAATTGAGCCGGTATCCTCTCACGTACTCGTTCGACCAGTTCTGGATCCGCTCAGGTGTCTTCGCTTGCTCGCCACTCCACTCCCCGGACTGGATAAGTGCGATATCTCCTCAGTTCTTCCATTGAAGTCTTGAGTCCTCCAGCACCGACGATGCGGGCACCACTGCTGTTGCTCTGGATGCTGGCTAGGTGCCTCCATGCGTACGGTTCCCCTCGGTAACCGTCTCATGTGTATTATCCACTGTAAGCCTCTCTGAGCATGTGTCTTCCCTTGGCAAGCCATCTGCCACCCCTGGAGTTGAATTTTAGTAGCCACCTGCGGTTGGTGCTCCAGTGTTTCCATATGCGTTCCTTGTGGCCATATGTGTATTCGTAAGTCCTCCCTTCGGTTGGCAGCTGGTAGCATGTCCCTCCCGGGATATGTTTCCCAGTGTACCTTGGTAATCCTGTGTCAAAGTGGGATCCCAAAAAAAAAAAAAAAAAGGTAAGGCAGGGGTCCAGACTTTCGCAGGGCACTGGAAGACAGCTTGAAGATGGCGTGATGGCACAGACCCCCGATCTCCGTCACTTCTGACGTAACTCGAAGTGACTACGAAAGGGAACGTCTCGGTTACGTATGTAACCCTCGTTCCCTGAGTAGGGAACGGAGACGTTACGTCTCCCTGCCACTTCTGCTGTATCGCTGGGTAGACGCCGAGTTCAGTCTTGGCTCCTCAGCGAAGACATACTGCAGTTGCGTTCACTTCCTCCTTTTATACTCACGGAGTAGGGCGGAGTACGCTATGCAAATTTCCGCAGCCCCAAGGCATTGCATGCCATTGGCTCGTTTTTAAATACTCGAAGAGGATTGGCTTTCTATGCGAAACCCCCAATCTCCGTCACTTCTGACGTAACGTCTCCGTTCCCTACTCAGGGAACGAGGGTTACATACATAACCGAGACGATTTTGGTTCTCAGAATGTTCTCAGAATATTAGTTTTTGGTTATCATAATGTTAGTTTTTGGTTATCAGAAAGTTAGTTTTTGGTTCCCAGAACATTATTTTTTTATGGTTTGTTTTTAGTTTTCTTTATGTTCAACAACAATTCATCTTTTTTTTTACTTCAATAAAATACAACAGTAAATCTATATAAATAATAAACCTGTACAGTCCATGTTTTTGTCGATTCATTGTTTAATTGTTGATTAAAAACAGACAAAAAAACACAATTATATAGGCCTAGGCTGTGCATCACATTAAAAACAGGCAAAACGAAAAGGTGAAACGAAAACAATTGTAGATCCTGCACTTGAAAGCCTCATCCATCTTCACCACAGTCATCTGTAAGAATAACAAATAGTAACATTATTACAAAGAAAAGTAAAAATATATATATTCTTCAATAAGTCACTGCCATTTAAGTGAAATGACTGAACCTTAATAGGAGCCTGATAAAAATGCTAATTTTAAATGAAATGTCTGACCGACATTAAGGTTTTCAATTGTTGTTCTTCTTATTATAATTATTATTATTATTATTATTATTATTATTATTATTATAGTTAACACCTTTAAATAATTATTAGTTGAATAACGTAATAACAGTTTACCCCTATATGTCACTGTTGAAGAGGGTATCAAGGGGGTACCTTTACTTGTCAAATAGCCTATAAATGCCAGCGATCAGCGAGGTGAAAATTAGCGATAGATGTCAAATACACAAAGTGTATCAAATAGATGCGGTTTAGATTAACTGCAAATAGCTATAGATTATTTACACTAAAAGTTTTTTTTTTTTTTTTTTTGCAACAACAAACAAACCTATCGTTTTATTGGAACATCATTGGCTATGTTTTTGCGAAACAGACCGTAATATTAAGATCCGTTTTTATGCACTCTTATGATGCTTTTGGGAAACGCTGTCCATGTAGCCTTCAGTAGCCTATGTGTTAATCACAGTAGAATTTCTAACACTAAAATGTAACTAATGTTGTTAATATCCATGCATTTTTCTTCTTTACACCTAAGACAAAGAAAAGAGCAAAGCACATTTTTCTATTCAGATTATCGGCAAAAGGTTTTTTTTTTTTTTTTTTTAAGTGAACGACTCCCTTAACCAATCTGAAATCCCAAGTTCAACCAATATATTCAGGGGCAACGACAGATTTCTGATTCAGCAAATCATTAAATTGGCTGAAAAAACTTAAGAAAAAAAAAGTATGGGCAAGAAGACCAGCCGAGCAAAGATAAGTCAGAATGCACATAGACCTCAACACTGTGTGCAAGAGTCTTAGGCACCTTAGTATTTCGACCCCAATAGATTTAAGCCAGTTCTTTTGCACAGTATATATATATATACAGTATATATATATATATATATATATATATATATATTACATGGCTTGGTAGAATTCCAATGCAGAAAGCGTTATTTCTTGATAACAGACCGCTGCCATTACCCTTCAATTTGCGCAAATTGAAATTGCGAAATGAAAATACGCTCAACATAGGGTCCGTGTACTTTTTCGTTCATTCATTAGTCTATTTCGGAATGAAAGATGAAATTTAAAAAAGGGTGCAGCTTGTTTTCTTTGTTTAAAAGAAAAAAACAGAAATGGCTGTATTTTGTTCTCCAAATGTAGTTGTTGTCATCAAATAATAGTATTAGAAAATTGGACGACATTTCCGATCGTTTTTTTAATCTGTAATATCTATTTGTACGTTTATTGTATTTCATTTGACTCGGAGCTGGCGCCAGCGGAGCGCTGATGAGGGGACGTTCACATTAACGCACGTCACCACTCTTTTGCGCATGTTCAATATTCTCCCCAACTACGGTGGCCGAGAGAGTTCAACGTGTTGCAACCTAAAGAAGACGCATGCAAATACAAAAAAAAATCCGCAAATCCGCAAAAAGAAAAACATCTTCATCAGTTCCACAACACATGTGTGCTCCAAGTACTCACAACACAACAAAATACACAAAACGCGCTGCAAAACCTCACAACACCACCAAATACAGAAACACACTGAAAGTAACACAGACCACAACGGAAATGTTTCCAGGGAACCAAATAAGTGACGGACCCAACTGGGATATATTTTTATCTATTATCCACTTATCAAATATAGCACATAACAAAATATTCAATTCATGCAAACCAACAGGAATCCTTGCCTTTTCTGCATTTTTTTTATGTGGGTAGGGCCCCATATTAGTTATTGAAACAGCCCCCAGATGCTTAAGGGCAACTGGATTAAGCTGAGATAAAGCATTCTTTTTTTCTTTTCTTTTTTTTTTTTTTTACATTTTATTTACATTTTAATCTTACAAGTGTGTAACAAAAATATTTATCTATACTGAGGTTTGACTATAGTTATAATAATAATGCAAAAATGTGTAAGATAAATAATCCAACTTACTAAATTCTATACGAAGACACTTAAGGTATAACTTAACTGAAGATATACTATTTTGCAATACAATCGTTTTTAAATCAATAAACTCCCTTTTAAATCAGTCTTTTGTGTCAAATTATTAATTTATTTGGTAGGTAACCTAGTCACTTCGAGTCGGGGTCATAATCAGCCTGTCTGGTTTGTATTCGCTATAACAGCCACCTTGCTATATGCCTATCCCTTACAATATATATATATATATATATATATATATATATATATTACACAATTTGAACACTTACCATCTGACGAAATGTCTGTTTCAGACTGAAATCTCTTTGGAATTTTATGTGGCCTCTTTTTACTTGTTGTGTCCTCCGTTGCCGTTTCAATATGTGATGTTTCAGTAACAAGCTGGTATTTCTGGGAGGCTCTGGCATAAGAGTCTGTAAAATATTTGTCAAATAATATTATTGAAAATGTTTTAACATCCCCTCCATGAGTCAGGCAGCACACTTGATTCTTGAAATAGTATCACTATACCTGTTCTTAACCAAATCTTTTTCAGCAAGAACCGCCTCCACTTTTGCTTGTCGGGAATTGCATTGTTTTTTACCAACTGCCTCGAGTTTGTGTAGGTCCAGTAACAGAATGTTCCCTATTTAAAATGAACGAATGAGTGAATGAATGAAAATAAATAAATACAATTAGCATTTCACAGTGGATTTTCACATTGTAAGCATGAGTGTGAGTGAGTGTAAAGCCTAGTTCACACTACGTGATTTTAAGCCCGATTTAAACCCGATTTGCAAATCGTTGAGTCGCCGACAAGTCAGGGTGTTATCGCGTGCAAATCGCGGGCGATTAGCGGACGATTAACGCTCGCCAATCCGTTAGTGTGAAAGAGCCAACAACGCACCAAAGACAGCTCGCAGACAGCTCGCAGACAGGTCACCGAGCTCAGAAAAATATCTAGCATGCTAGATATCTCGAGCAGTCGCGCGACTCAATCTCAGTGATGTCATGAGTACAGCCAATCATAGCAACGCATGGGTTGAGGACACCAGGTAAATTTTACTTTTTCTTTTCTTTTTTGCATTTTTTTTTTCTCAGAGCAGATCGTCGAGCAAACAGTGTGCAGCACTAGTTTCTGTCTGACGTCCATATTCGCGTGTTGTGTTCTTCTCTGCAGTTTCGCGTCATTTCTGGTTCGTTTTATTGCGTGGTTTTTCGTGGCAAAACATGGTTTCTAGACCAGATAGAATCGTGTTGTTGTCAACTCGTTATTTGTTTGATTATTTTCAGGATTTAGACCGTACTATAGTACTGAAACAGCTCTAATTGAGTCACAAATGATATGCTCTTATCATCCGATCGTGGTTGTATCTCTATGTAGTGCGTTGTTAACTCGTGTAGTGAGTTACCTCCTGTTGTGGATCAATCACGTTGTGTTGTGTGGTGTGAACAGCTAAACAACTTGAACACTCATGATTTCACTGAGAGCAAGTCATGTAGTGTAAACTGCACAGTTCAGCCCGACATTTTAAAATCATGTAGTGTGAACTAGGCTTAATGTTATTTTAAAGTTTGGTGAATAAAAGCATACTTTGATTGTTTCCTCCAACCAAGTGGTTGGGATAATTTCAACTGCATTATCATCTGCAAACTCGACTACTGCAAAAGTCTGCATCTGTTGAGAGATAAAAAAACCCAATGCTTTTAAATTACAAACGCATAGCCTGTCAATATGCACAGCACAATCTCTGGTCCTGAATTAACACTGCTCCTTATCTATACTAGTTCACTCTACAGCAAGGGTCTTCTACTAGGGGTCAGGGGTACTGCAGGGGGCCCGTAAATTAGTGTTTGATCACAAATCATTTTTGCTGTAACATGGGTAAAAAAAAGTCACAAAGTCAAATTGTTATATTCACCCTGAAACGAAAGCAAGACCATCCTCAGCCCATGGAAGAATGACTGTGAACAGTTCAAAAGGCAAACCCTCATCTTCCAGCTCTCCCAGCAGTGTCCGGGCATTTCAAGAGGAAACGTAGTCCGTCGGTTGTGGGCTGAGGTGGGTTAGGGTGGGGTGGGGTAGGGTGGGGTGAGGTGGGGTAGGGTGGGGTGGGGTGGGGTGGGTTGGGGTGAGGTGTGGTGGGATGGGGAAGAGAGTTAAAGTGTATGCAGTATGGCCAAAAAAATATTTCCAGGTTTTCTTCAATCATTATGGCAGTTTTTGTTAGCTGCTGTTCTGGGATTAGTGTCATTTTGGATTGTCTTGACTGCACTTTGAAACAACCAATCATCCGTGAGTCACATGAGTCTTTGAAAAGTGATTGAGATCTCTCAAAAACCTTGCACAATAACATTCTTCCCTCTCTTCAATGGCCACACAACACTTCCCCTCCTCGAGAATGAAAGCATTGTTTGGTCTTGTCGTTTTGAACTTTGTGGTGACCATGGATTGAGTCTGTGGAAAATTTGACATCTCCATCAAACGTTTGGCCACTTGAATAAGCGGCTTCTTTCCTGACCTTACGAGTCGTTTAAGCTTTCCCAGAAAGTTTTCAAATGGGAAAGCACTGCAAGCGTCAAGACAACCAAAATTGATGGCCTCTGCTGATAGATGTATCATGGAATGTATGTTGTATACCATTAAATGATCACCATACAGTTCTTTAGTTTTTTCCACGAAGTATTTCATCAGCTGACTGCTGTAGCCGTTGTGGTCCACTGCCAAATTTGGTGAAAGAAGAAGACCCAAGGCAACACTGAATGTCATAAAATGATCGTACAGCTGGTCGGCCATAATCCCTTTTAGTACAATCTTGCCAGTGTACACGGCAAACTGACGCAGTTCTGTTGCCTTCCACCTGTCTATGTCTTCCAGACCCCTTGGTTTTCTAGCAAAACAACTGGGAATGTCTTTTCTGAGTGTCAGCAGCCGTTGGGTCACTTCATTGACTTGTCCAGCTGACATTCGCACATTCCGGTTTCCTCTTATCCACTCAGTGATCATTTTTTTTGTGACCCCCAGGCATGCTTGGTGCATGTAGTCTATTGGAAATTGGTTGACCATGTCCAAAGGGAGCCTCAAGAATGCTGAAATGGCATCATCTTTCTGCTGTTTTGCAATTTCAGCACGGTATGTCTCATTTGTGCGTAGCGTGAGGTTGTCTGCCTTTGGATATGTTACTCTTCGAGAAACCCACATGCCTTTCTGAGTGCATTTATCGCACCCATAATATCCTGAGTACTGTTTTATCTTTTTGACCATTGCTCTCGCAGGTGCGTCACACACAATACATCTAATTTGAATTTGTATTCCTTCCAAACCATTGTCCAGGAGATCCTGAATGTCTTTAATGGCTTCCTCAACAAAATCCAAATCTTTTGGTTTGGAAGGACCAAGTGTCAGTGTCACCGGAAAGACCCTGATAGGTGTCAGGTGAATGGCACAGAGGATGGGCCATAGATTTGCTTTGTTGCTTTTGAAAAAAGGAAGTCCATTTATATTGAATGATAACTCTAGTGTTGTTATTTCGTCAGTTACATCCCTTGGGTAGTGCTGTAACTGCTCGCTAAGGCTTTTTTTCAAGTTGAAATGAACACACTCCATCACTGACTTCATCACTGTTTCAATGTGTCTCGGAGTTTGCAGCAAGGTTCTTGCCGTTAAAGGCAGCTCTGGATGTCCATTTTTTCTAAGTCCCTTCAGAAGGTCATCAATGGCATTGTGTTTAATTAAGGTGTTTTGTAGCCCAACTCTGCAAAAATGTTGTAAGTGAGGCTGGAGGCATTTGATTTGCATCTTCTGACCCTGAAGTGCAGTTGTCCTCACTGAAGACATGATCCTCATTCTCATGTTCTGAACTGCAGTTTTCTTCACTGACCCCATTATCATCATTCTCATGTTCTGAACTGCAGTTTTCTTCACTGACCCCATTATCATCATTATCATGTCCTAAACTGCATTTTTCTTCACTGACTCCTGTCTCTGCACATTTAAAAGCACCCCAGATGTCCTTGTCATTTATTTCATCCACATTGACCTGATCTTCACCATGTGGAGATGTTACCGGAAGGCATTTGGATTGTTCTCCAATAATCCTTTCAGTTAGTGACTTCCGGGCACATTTCCATTGCCTTGTGTACCTTTGCCTTCTGGATTTTGAGTTCATTCTAAATTCAGAATATTTGCTTTCATAAAATATTTTGTAATGCTAAGTACAAGGAAAATACATTACATAACCAAAAGTATTGAAAGGGGGTCCACATAGTTTTGTAATGTGTCATTTCTGAGATAAGTTTAGAGTAGGAGTATTTATTACGATTAATGGTTACATTTTGACAGTCCTCTTTTAACATTTTACTAATTACAAGTAACTTTTCAACTACATGTTAACTAACTCTCATTAGAGTATTAGAAGAGTGGGTCTGTTAACTGTTGGGTTATGGTTAGGTGTTGGGGTTCGGGTTAGAATAATAAGTTGACTTGTTGCCAAGTTACTTAAAGTCAGTATGTCTGTTGGGGGACCAGCAAAATAAAGAGTTAGCAAATATTAAGCAGACAGTCTATTAATACTCTAATGACAGTTAGTTGACATGTTGCTACAAACTTAGTTCGAACACTGTATTTTTATTTATATACATCAGTAAGCTACAGGACATCGTCTTTCAAAACATGACCTACTCGAAAGACAAAAAAAAGAATGAATGAGTCATTGTACCCAGCACTTTTGAAAATGCCCTTCCGAACGGTATTTAACGGCAGAAATTGTAAGATGTGGTATTTACTATAAAAAGACATTTCCGTATTGAAAACGTCTCAGGTTACGACTGTAACCTATGTTCCCTGAGAACAGGGAACGAGACAATACGTCGAATGACGCAATGGGGAACGCCTCAGGCGTGACAGGTGTCTGAAATCAAATATCAACTCACAATGATCAGGTTGACCGGCGACAGCCCGTGCATGATCAGCTTGAATGATGAGCGCGTCAATCTGGATGTATAAGAAGGGCGCCTTGAAACCGTGACAACATCCTATCGTCTGAAGGGACTGTTGCAGGCAGGCCCCGAGGCATGGCAACGAGACGTATTGTCTCGTTCCCTGTTCTCAGGGAACATAGGTTACAGTCGTAACCTGAGACGTTCCCTTTCGAAGGGAACTCAACAATACGTCGAATGACGCAATGGGGAACGAAATACCCACTCCGCCATGCTGAGGGGAGTGCATGCCGAAAAGGCAGTGACAACTGTCAGAACCAGTAATTCCAAGGAACACTGAAACCCCTCACCCTATGTTACATCGGGCTGTCAGTGACAGCACTCCCTACCGGTCATAGCCCAAGCTAATGAACCAAGAAAAACCAGAACGTAATAACGTGGGTAAATCGGGGCCAGCTCAAAGGCTTTAGGACCACAACTTCAAAATAGAAGGGGTCCCTTCTAGGGAGTGTGGCTAGGGGGCCAAAGGGACCCCCAGCCAGTCACTATTCAGGAGAACACTCCTCCTGAAATGCCCCCAGGCTGGCCTGGTGATCTGTACTAAGACACACAGTCTGGCCATAGCCTGTCCGTCCAAGACAGAGCCTCTGGAAATTGCCTAGGAAAGGCATCCAAAAACTGAAGGCCCGCGAAGCTGGCAGAAACCATCAAGTTTCGGATCACAGAGACGGGATCCTCCGGAGAGTGTGACTCAACCTCAAAACAACGGGAATCGTACACTCAATCCACGAGTTTCCACCCAGTGCTCGCTTTGAGCACTGAGGAAGTACAGTAAGAGAGGGATCAAAATCGGGAAGGTCAATGAGACCTAAGACCTGATGACCCCCTGTGTGGGGAGCTCTGAAACATGATGGCTCATGTCAGGAAGGCCGTACATTGTGCGGCCTGAAACCCAACGACCACAGCATGTGGAAGCTCATCCTTCAGGAAAGCCAGAAGCTAGAAACCTGACAGACCCACAATATGGGGCTACCTCGAAACAGGTCTAATGAGACCTAAAACCACCAGTTGTGGGAGATAGCTTGAACAAGGGAAGTGCCTGTCGTAATGTATTGCGACAAAGACACATCTAGAGTGGGACCCAAAGTGAAGAACCGGAGTCTGAACCACATAAGAAGGGACCGAAGCATAGTGCGCGTGACCCTCACCATAAGAAATGGATTTTAAAAAGTGCACAAGACATCTCGTCGGGTGACTTACCACAATAATAGGTGAAGTATGGGTTTGTGTACTTCACTCTGAATTCAGGAAGGCCTGTTGAGGCCTGTAACCTGGCGACCACAGTGTGTGGGAGCTCATGGCTAGGAAGGCCTGGTAAGGCCTGTAACCTGGCGACCACAGTATGCGGGAGCTCGTAACCTGGTGACCACAGTATGTGGGAGCTCATAACCAGGAAGGCCTAGTGAGGCCTGTAACCTGGCGACCACAGTGTGTGGGAGCTCGTGACCAGGAAGGCCTGGTAAGGCCTGTAACCTGGCGACCACATCCGGTGGCAGCTCGTACTCAGGAAGGTCAGGGAGACCCAGCCTGGTGTACCTGAAAAACCACACCAAGTGGGAGCTACTTCCAGAAGTTAGCTCTTAAGAACTCTTAACGTGGGACCCGAGGAAAGACCGGGGTCTGAGCCACATAAGAAGGGACCGAAGCATACC